GGATATGTTGTAAAGTAACTGTTATGAACATATGTAGTTGTTACCATAGCAACCAAAATGTTTATTATCAAATGCTGTTTACTTTTCTAACACAGTTACTTCTATTTTCAACACTCTGTCTTTTTATATTCTAATATTCCACTCGAAAGTCATCTCAGTTGGCGACGATTTGGTAAAAAACTATTATCAATTCTTGTTTTATTCTATTATTTTCAAGATATTTTATTTTGTTAAACATTTTAACTTAAAATGAATGAAGAACAATTTTAAAGGCTCATGAATGTTTTGGCTGCAGCTCTAGGTAATAAAACTTCAACTCCTCAGATCAATCCCTTTGAACATTTTGATCCAAATAATGATAAATTCAAATCATATTTGGAACGTTTTGAAAATTATTGCAATTTGAAGAACATTAAAGAAGACAAGATGAAAGCTCAACTCCTGTGCTCATCCATTGGTAAGGAACATTACAATAATCTGACAACTCTTTTGGGCCCAGACAATCCTGTAAAAGACCTTAATTTTTCAAAATTAATCGAACATTTTTCACAGTGATGTTGTTACCTACAGTATCTCATATTGTTGCACAACACTATTTTCTCAGTGTTTCACAACAGTTGCATCAATCTATCTCTGATTTTGTCACAGTCCTGAAAGGTAACCTGAATGATTGTAATTTTTACACTTCTTGCAATGAATGTGAAAGTAAAATTTCAATTGCTGATGAATTTCTCCGCCCTCAATTTATTAGAGGACTAAAAGACAATTGGATACGTGAACAACTTCTACAAGACACTAATCTCAACAGTTTTGACACACTCCTCAAAAAAACAATTGCCCTAGAAGCTTCCCGCTATGAATCAAATAAAATTTGTATTCCTGTCACACAATAATCAAGTGAAAATGCAGATACACACAAAATTTATAGGCATTCAAGGTCTAAGACAAAGGAATATCAAAGTTTCAAGCAATTTAAGACTCCCAAATATGATGACCGCGTTTCCAATAGATCTCAATCACAACATTTCCGTAACAAAAGCTTAAAAAGACACGTTGACTACAAAGCTTTGGGTATTGATGGACTTTGTTTCAAATGTGGTCGATCAAACCATCAGTCTAATTCTAATGAATGCAAAACTAATCGGAATTATCTTAAATGCACTTCCTGTGGAAAACAAGGCCACGTATCAAAAGTGTGTATAACGTCTCTACTAAAGAACTCTAAAACAAACACCCTGTTGTCTCACTACACAGAAGATGAATCCAGTCACCCAGATGAGTATGGAATCACACAAATCAACGATGTGGAAGATCTTTACATAGTAGGACCAGACTCAGACAAATAGGTACATGGTTACAGTCACTATCAACAACAAGCCTCAAACATTTGAAGTAGACTCTGGTGCACGATTTTCCTTAATCTCAGAAACGGACTTTGATAAACTTGGACTTAAAGTGCCACTTCAACCAACTCCTACCTCATTTCGCTCTTACTCTGACCATATAATAAAACCTAAAGGTAAAGTAACTGGCTCAGTCTCTTACAATCACTAAATGCTGATTTATTTATAGTACCTGCAGGTCATTCTGCTTTGTTAGGACGAATTTGGATTCGTGGACTTGGAATTGAACTCAGTGAGGTAGACAACAGAAAGCAATCACCGATGAATACAGTTGATGTTGAACCATTGTCACATATTTTTCATCCAGGACGTGCTCTGCCACGAATGACATCATCTCGCTTATTGCGTTATTCTTCATTCCTCAGTGGTCTTGACTATACAGTTCGATGCAAGAAAGGGAAAGACAATGAAAACGTGGATTGTTTGTCTCGAAGCCCAGTTCAATCATCAATTTCATCTGAACTAACATTCGACAAAGAAATAAACACAATCAATGCAGAAACCTTACTTCAAATCTCCAGCACAGTGATAACCGCAGAAACTATAAAAGAAGAAACAGCAAAAGACCCTGAGCTTCAAGTTCTTTTACATGAACTGAAAAATAGTCGCAAAGATAGCCCTTACATGATCTCAGACAACATACTTTTCCGATCAGATCGAGTCGTAATTCCCAAATGTCTTCAAAATCAAATTTTAAATGAGCTCCATGAATCACACCTCGGAATTACTAAATTGAAACAGCTTGCTAGAAGATATGTATATTGGGAAGGTATGGACAAAGACATAGAAAGATTAGTGAAAAGCTATGAAGCTTGTGCTAAAGTTCGTCACAATCCACCAAAAGCTCCGGTACATCCGTGGGATCAGCCCGATGAAAACTGGGAAAGAGTGCATATTGATTATGCCGGTCCATTGGATGGAAATTATTTCCTCATGTGTGTAGATGCTAAATCAAAGTGGGCAGAAGTTCGCATTCTTCGAAATGCTCCTTCCTCAGCAACGACGATGACACTACTTGAAAATATTTTCTCGGTTCATGGGTACCCCTCGTTCTTAGTCTCGGACAATGCCACTATATTCAAAAGTGAGGAGTTTATCAACTACTGTAAAGAACGTGGGATTTTCCAAAAATTTACTGCTCCTAACCATCCTGCAACAAATGGCCTGGCGGAACGAAACATACAAACATTAAAGAGAAGACTTATTGCTGCTGCCGATGATCCAACCCCAATTACCACAAAGCTACAAAACATTATGTTCAGATATCGAGCAACACCTTTGGCATCAGGCAAGACTCCAGCAGAGTTGTATTTGAACAGGAAGATTCGGATTAGACTTGCCACACTTCTCCCTAACCCAAAGGCAAAACTTCCATCAAAATCAATTGCACCTCTTCGCTTCCGCTCTCTTAAAGTGGGGGAGAGAGTTCAGGCAAGAGTTCACCTGGGAAATAAAGACATATGGCAGTTTTGGTACAGTCAAGAAAAAATTAGGTCAATACCATTACATTGTTGAATTGGATTCTGGACGAAGTTTAAAACGACACATATAAATCAATTGATTTCGACTCTTGTATTCAAGAAGAAAGTTACATTTACAAGACACAACGAACAAGATAGTTCTGTTGTTCCAAGACGGATACCTGTTATAGACTGTCAAGCACCACCACAAGAGATCCACCCAGAGTCTGAATCAAGTTCAAACAATCCAACAGAACTAGACGGTACTCTAAGGGAAGAAAATCTAGACAGACCTCAAGCCACAGAACAAAAAGAAAACAAATTAACTCGTCCTTGCGGACAGCGCAAGGTTCCGTCCTATCTTTAAGGACTTTGCTCTCCAGCGATTAAGTGGGGGAGAATGTTATGAACATATGTAGTTGTTACCATAGCAACCAAAATGTTTATTATGAAATGCTGTTTACTTTTCTATTCTGATCTTTAATATAACACAGTTACTTCTATTTTCAACACTCTGTCTTTTTATATTCTAATATTCCACTCGAAAGTCATCTCAGTAACATTTGTTGAGTCGAATACCACTTCAATGGCTTATAAAGCAATTTTACCCAGTCAAATCATAAGTTTACTAGACTATTTAACCAACTATTCCAAAAGATAACAATAATATAGTGCAACACAAATAAACAACCCGATCAACTACCTATAACCTACACTTTACCTTCCTAATTTAACCTTACTTCAAAACACTAAATGTAGTCACGAATACTCATAAGCCCCAACCTACCTTCCCCACATGCCTAAATTAGACCAGTGTTCAATCTGCGTTTTATTAATAAGTGTAATAAATTACTGTACCGTCGATGTAGTTCAACATATAACCTGTGAGGTATTATTGGATTAAATATCGATTTCAATGCGGTTCGATATATCGCTTATTAAATCTTTATTTCTAACTAGCAGAGTACCTGTCCTTCGTACGGTTTTGGAATATAAGTATAAAATGCTTATTGCAGTTAGACTCAAGCTTTGCGTTTGCAATAAGGGAGGACACAGTTTGATAAAATTTGCTTTTTTTAAATTTACAGTATTCTATAGTATTACACATCTACCATAGCCATAATGTTCTACCACTTCACCTAAACAATAGAGAAAAATAAATTATCAACAATTCGCAAAATATCACAAATTATTCATGAAATGAAAACATAAACATAACTGTAAACAATCCTACTTTGACAGTTCTCATTGCGAATCACAGTTGTTTGTTGCTGCTTAGTTCAAATTAGCTGTTTTCATAAATGCAAAAAAAATATAGTGCTGCACCCTGTTGGTAAATCTTATCCTTACTATTTGATGCTTTTCCATATCATAGAACCATAGATAAAACATACTCCCTTAGTAGATTTCTTATCCTTATGGAACAGCTGAAGACAATTTTATTGTTAGTTCATGTACGGTTTATGTAGAGGTCGTGTTTTGTTTACTATTTGTTTCCCGTTATTACAGCCATTTAAAACCTTGTTTAACCAAATAATACGATCTAATCATACATAATAACTTGTCCCCTAGTTATATAACCAAACAGTAAAGCACAAATCAAGAAATTAACCCTAAAATAATGGAAACAAAGTTTCATCAACACTAGCGCCTTTGTGTCGCGTACATGAACTATACACGAAAAACGTGCTTCAAAATTTACAATGGGATGAGAAGTCTACTTGTGTTGGTTAGTCTATGATAGAACCAACTTTTTTAGTTGAAACAGCTGACTAAATTCTTTAATTCCCTTTAAATATGAATACTCATAAGGTTAACATGGGGAATTACAGAGCCACTGGGGCGGAGCCCGAAAGGATTTTTGAGATAAGAATATGCCTATATGTTAATCGGGAATGTAAGCTATCATCATTCCAAATTTCAGCCCAATCCGTCCAGTGGTTTATGCGTGATTGAACTTCAAACACACAAACAAACAAACACACAAACTTTCACATTTATAATATTAGTAAGATCAGCTGGCAACACAAATAGGTGCCCAAGAGCACAGAAAACATACTACTATTTTTTTTTTAAATGCCTAGTGGAGTCCCCACTCCCCAGTAATAGTGTAACCCTGACATATTATGATACCTACCAGAATTATTTTTTCCTTTATTGACAGCAGTGTTGATCATGACCCCCAGCCTGGTGAGGCTAGATTGTCGGATCATAGTCAACTTTTCTGTGGGGGAGGGGGCCAAGCCCCACAGCCCCACCACCCCCGCGTGGCGAATTGTGTCCAACGGTGCTGACACACTTCCCTGTAACAAATAAACACTAGGATCAAACAAACTTGCTATATAGCCCGTCTCAGATGAAAATTGCAGTAAAGGACAACTGACGAAGGGACAGATTTACATGGGACACAATCGTTGGTTTTATGATTAGCCTACACAGTACACTCATACACAGTAAAGCTATGGTTCCACAGGATGCGGAATATCCGCCATGCGGTGCGTAATCTTTCGCAGCGGAAAATTACGCAGCGAAAAATCAGAGGGGTGGTTCTACAGACTGCGAAAATAACGTTGCGGAGATTCAGTTCCGTCCAAACTAGCGACGAGTATGAATAGAAAGAGGAAAGCCCTTTTGGCTTTGATGCTATATGATGACATTGATGATGATGTTGTAGATCTTTTATCCTTGTTAGTGTCAAGTCGCAGTGACCGAAGTGACATATTTAAGAATCGGGACAGTGAAGGGGCGTATAACATTCTGGTTCGTAATAATTTAGTGCTATAACGAAACTAAGTACTTCCGTGTGTCAAAAGACCAATTTTTCTTTTTGGTTGATCTCATCAAAGATGACTTACCCACCAACGCTACTAATCGAGACAAACAAGAAACAACCATTGAATGCCGAGATGAAACTAGCGGTTACACTAGGGTTTGTACCAATACTTAATATTTTTGCTATTTGTTTAACGAAACTTAAGGGGTTCCAATCACGATCAGATCCCGTTCAACACTTGATACCCAAACGTCTCAGGATAATTGTTCGTCAGGTCTACCATTTTCGACAGTTTATGTTAAATGTATTATAATGATTTATTTAAGCAGTTAGTTTGTTGAAAGTCGGTGTTGCGATTATAGGTATTACTTACAATTGGCTCAAATGTTGTGTATAGGTAAACGTGACCTAAAAAAAACCATTACTTTTATCATTGAATGTATTCTGGTGTGATTGTGTGCATACGTCTTCGCTAATTTCTCAGAAATCCACTGACATGCGATTTCCACATCATGTTGAGACACCAACTCGACAAGTTCTTCCTCTTTGGTCGAATAAAAACGTTCATCCATAACTCTTTTTACAGCACAAGACATAATGAAACTGACGGTCACAATATTTGATGGCTCTTCTCCGCTGGCGGAATCCGCACTGCTACTGCTCTCAGACCAGTATGATTTCTCCGCAATGCGGAACGGAAATTTCGGGATGCGGAATCGCAAGTCAGTGGAACCGCACACATGGGAACTCCATTAAACCAGTGTCGTTTTAATTCCGCAGCGGAAAAAATCGCACCGCACGGCGGAGATTCCGCATCCTGTGGAACCAGGCCTTAACATTCAGTACTTTTATTCTTAGTCAGATGACAAATTCATTGAACTTTTAAATTACTCATTACATTTCAAATTTAACTGGTGTATTTTAACTGCCAATTATCAATTGTTAATTATTTGAAATTGGGGCGCCACCAAGGTGCATATTTTAACCCAAATATGAGTGATGGATGAGTAAATGTGAGATGATCTGTGTTGTGTAGTTTTGTTAGTTACTGACTAAGATCAGCTGGTTCATCAGTCAGGATCATTATTTTTAAAGCTCATCCAATGATCAGGACCAGCTGGAGTCTGGTTTTGAACCATCCAAAAGCTACTACTTTTGTCAGGATCAAACTGGCAACCTTTTTTGATTGTTAGGCGAACACTTTAACTGCTCAACTTCCCAGGAAAGCTGTAATTTGCCATTAGAATGTTAAGATTATTGAGCGGAGCGAAGCGAAGCTCTTTGGGATCAACTTCAATGCAATAATTATACAACAATTTTAATCTCAATAACGGCTGAACATATTTTAGCCAAACTTACCAAGGTTGTTTTATCAAATGTTTGGATGGTTTAGACGTAACCAATTTCAAATTTTGATAGTGCCTATATAATTTAAAAGTAACTCAAAGTTTTAAATGTTAACATTGGCCTTTTTACCCACAAACTCTTGGTTACCAATTGGACAGCCATAATCTGCTTTGAATAGGCTAAAGCAGCAACACCATTGGAAGTTGTTTAACGAACGTATTTTAACGTATTGTCTGGCAGTCTCACGCGTTGTTTAGTGGAGTTTCTCTTAATATACCTGTCCCAAAGTTTTGAAAGTATGGATTCGTTTGTAGAAATTGGTTGGATAACTCTTGTAGCTATAAGATTTGGATAGCACTTTACATTTTCTCTTTTTGAACAGCGTATATTATTTGCCTCTCCTGAATCAGAAAAATAAACTTGCAGTAACTACTCGATCGTTGAATACATTAACACTGATTCCTTCACTTATGTTTGGTCTAATATTGCCACTAAAACTTTCAATAGCAAATGAGTTTTTGAAACTTAAAATGTCTGGATTGTTTTGGGGAATTCAGTCAAAAATCTTTTTAAGTTTGTCCGAGGAACTGGCAACATAACCTAGAAGTAAACAATCCATTTCCTTTTTTCTCAATTGGAGTAAAGCAAGTAGTACAAAAGTTTACAATAAAAACAAAAGGTTCACCATGATTTGGTACTGTATAATCTCACTACTTGAACTTATCATAGTCAAGGCATTATTATAGTTTCTACTAAATGTTTTGAGATATCACGATCTAGCAGGGTCAGAAGTAAACATTTCTTGCATGCATTCATTTGATCTGACAATAGGCAAGTTTACTTTACCACCGTGACAACAACATGTGCTTCGTATATTTTTTTCACTTCCAAAGTAAGTTGCATAGCAGAACTGGCAAATATTATTCATCTCACTCATCGATCTTTATTACTACATCTCATTAAGTGAATGTGTATCTGGATGGGTATCTGTTAGACCAGGCCTGTCTTTTTCTACTCTCCTCATACGCATAATATATCTTATTATTAATTAATATTCTCCTCCTCCCGTTTTCAATATTTTTTCTTTGAACTTGAGACATTTTCTGTTATTCCAACAAAAAACTGTTTAACTTGGCCTTAACCTTTTCAATATTACAAACATTGATATTTACTCCCAAAGTCCCAAAAAACTGATGAGTTTCTTTTTATAAACAGCTGTTTTTGTTTTTAAATCTGTTCTATGTATTTCTTATGGGGAAAACCCGACCTTTGAGAGGGTCGCACGTCCTTAAGAGTAGTTTTAAAATTCTAAAACTTTATTGCAAAACTACATATTGAGACGAATCTGTTGACACCTTAAACGTTGAAATTGGCCCAAAAATAAGGGAGGAGTTGCGTTAACAAAAAACGGCTTCACGTATTATATATGTTACACTCAATCTCCGAATTCGGACAATGTCCGAAATTTCTACCCACTCCGCGATGTGGATAGTGTGAAATACCCACGTCGCGGAGTTGAGCATTTTATTCGGATATTGGACGAAGTGAAATGCCCAGACCGCGTTGTGGGTAAATTGATTTACTCAAATGCCGAAGTCATAACGTTCTTCGGCGATTGAGCAAATCTAAAATACCCACAACGCGATGTGAGCAAGAGGGGTTGCCCACGTCGGGTTGTGGGTATTTCTAGTTTGTGCAAACGCCGAATTTACGTTTAGACATGTTACCCCTACCATTTGCGCTATCTGCGATTAGGATGGACGGGCCTGCACCTGCATTGTGTTTTCTTTAACTGTTAAGTTGCTGTCCTGTAGGGATATGCACATGATCAAGTTAATATATGTTCAGTGATTACCTTTTGTAAGATATTGTTTTGGTCTGTCGAACGAGCAAATCAAGACGTCAGAGGCCAATGTGGACGGGCAAATCAGAGGTTAAAAGGGTCGCCAACCTCTTTAAAAAAAACAAGGTTTTATAAGATGTGGTTGCAAGAAGAACTGAGTAAATCATGTAAATGTGTCAAACGTAAAATGCAATTCTAAATGCCATGGCAGCACCTCTTGTGCCAATAGGTAAAAGAAAGATGTAACAAGAACTGTGTGATAATCGGCGTTTTTAAGGCTACTCCTATTTTTGTAAAGCGGAAAAACATAATTTCAATGTATGTGTAATGTACCTTTTTATATTTGTTCCAATTCGGTAATTTGCTGTTTTTTTGTATTTTCTTAAATGCTATTTATACATTAAATAATTAGAATCACAAACATAAATTTTATTTATTTTACCTAGTGATTGTGGATTTCATGTAGATTTATGGGTATACGGTAGTTTATAAACTACTAGTCGGCGTTTGCGCAAACTAGAAACACCCACTACCTGACGTGGGCAATCACTTTTGCTCACATCGCGTTGTGGGTATTTTGAACTTGCTCAATCGCCGAAGAAGGTTTCGACTTCGGTGTTTGAGTAAATCAGTTTACCCACAACGAGGTCTGGGCATTTCGTTTCGGCCAATGTCCGAAATTAAATGCTCACATCGCGACGTGGGTATTTTACACTATGCACATCGCGGAGTGGGTAGAAATTTCGGACATTGTCCGAATTCGGAGATTGAGTGTAACATATATATAGATAGATAGTCTACCTTTATGAATGAAAATAGGCTGAAAAATAAGCACAAAAAATTAGTTAATTTTTTTTTTTAAATCACATGGGCTTTATGGGTTGCTACACTGGGGACGAAATATAAGCAGAAAAACAAAACAAATTAAAGAAATTCCAATCACATGTTTTCTTTACAGCGCGGCGTTTAATATTAGTATTCAATGAACATTATTAAAATTTACTTTATATATATAAATAAACGTGTTTGACAATAGGCAAACATGTTCTTTAATAATTGTTTTGCTCTTTCGCTTTCAACTTACGATTATTCATAACTAGCTGTAACCCGCGGGCTTTGCCCCGTTTAACTTCTTAATTATCAAGATGATCTCGTTCGCATGGCTCAATCACGTCCTGACGTCCTGGTTGAAGTTCGTTCGCTACGCTCACTCACCTTTTGGTTGCAAATTAGCTGTTAATGTAAAAGAAATAATAGTGCTGCACCCTGTTGGTAATCCTTGTAACTTTAATGCTATTGAACATCATAGAACAGAACCAACTTGTTTAATTGAAACAGCT